CCCAGGCCTCCCGTCACCCCTGGGGGAGGAGCCTGCGGGAGGAAGACAAGCAGTTTCTCCCTCATGGAAGACAAGCCCCAGCTAGAGTGAGGGCCCTGAGAACTGAAAGCATGGTGGTCACTCCCTCACAATCCGCTGTGCAAAATAATGTTAAAATTCTGCACCGTAAAATGACAGAAGGAAAGCGCACAGACATCTGGTCTCCACCGAGGCGTGTCGTTAAAAATGCCGTTATTTCAGGTTGTGTTTTCCTCTTTGGGGGTCTTTGAATCTGCTTTGCTGGGCGATGTGGCACAGGGAAGCGGGGTGTGGGGCAGAGCTGTTTGTGGAGTTCAGGTCACACCCGCGAGAGTATGTTTCAGGTAAGAACATCTTTGTGGAGTGCCTACTGTGTGCGGGAGCAAAAGCACCTACTGTGTGCGGGCAGCGGGAGGGCCTACTGTGTGCGGGCAGTGGGAGGGCCTACTGTGTGCGGGCAGTGGGAGGGCCTACTGTGTGCGGGCAGTGGGAGGGCCTACTGGGTATGGGCAGTGAGAGGGCCTACTGTGTGCAGGGAGTGGGGAGGTGTCTTTAACGAGTGCACTGAGCCCAAGGCCTTTGCCTCCCTCGTCCAGGTGGGGAAAGGGCTCCCAGCAGACAGCAGGCAGGACTACCAAATACCCGCTGAGTGACTGGACATAAAAAATGACAGCAAGCCCTAGCCAGTGTGGCTCAGTGGATAGAGCATCGACCTGTGGACTGAAGGGTCCCAGGTTCGACCCTGGACAAGGGCATATACCTCGGTTGCAGTCTCAATCCCTGGGCCTGGTCAGGGCGCACGCAGGAGGCAACCAACGGATGCGTCTCTCACATTGATGTTTCTCTGATCTCTCCCCCTCCCTTCCATTCTCTCTAAAAATCAATGGCAAAAAACACATGAACAAACAAAGAGATAAGATCAAAATCAATGGGAAAATGATGAGGAATAACCAAAATAATAACAATAATAATAACAAAGAAGGCCCCCAAGAGCCTCACGCAGGTGACAGCTCTGTGGTTTGGCATCATAAGCACATGGGGACCAGAGAGAGCTTTTTTGGAGCGCCGGCCCCACGCAGAACAGGAGGAGCAGGACCCCGAGGAGGCACCCCGAGTCCGCGCTGTCCAGAACCGTTTCCCGATGGCCTGTGGGCGGTCGGTCGGTCGGATCTGACAGGATCCGCTCTTATCCCTCAGGCCAGTGCTGTTCTTTCTCACAACTGAGGCTTGTTCCTACGTCAGTGAGCAGAGAGCTGAGCAGCACAGCCCCTGTGGCGGCTGCTCACTCACCGGGGCCTCTGTGAGCAGCCGGGCGCGGGCCGAGTGGCCACTGGCAGGTAAACCCAGGCGTGGGT